AAGAAATGGTTGGCTAATCTTTTAAGTTGATTACAAGAGAGTGAGAAAGGTATTGATGGACAAAATTAAGCTTTGACCAATGATTCCTCCTTGTACACTTACCTTTTGACACCATTACTTGAATCAATGCTGTTGTCATTAAACAAAATAGAACTTAATTGAGATTCTATGAATTGATACTATCAGTTGACTTAAAAGTACATAATTGCCCGACACTGTGGCAATCATTATTGATACATTTATAATACCTGTCCAACCGTCCTTTAAATTTATTTTAATAAGCGGTTTTTGAAGTGCACTGAGGTCTATTGGCATTTTCTATATTGGTATATAAATTAAAAATATCTTTTAATTTAAAAATAAGTAATATTCAACTTTACTACTATACTACTATTATACTATAATACTATTCTTCACACATACATATAATTATTGTGATGTACAACTCAAAGTTCCAGTTTTCTACTTTAAGATGCTTTAGGAAACTTTATAATGCAATAAATGAAGTCAAGTGATAACTACTTATTTCTCATATGATAAAAACTCTTTCATTATATTTAAGATAGACATTTAAGATGTTATTATGTATCACTTCGTTTCAATATCAACCTCAGTAACAAAGCCAAATGCAAGGAGTGAATACTAACAAGATTCTAAAGAAAAGGAAGATAAAAATAAGATTTCTAGTTCGTAGATTTTCACGCTGGAGCCCTGTAATTAAAATCCGATTGTTTAAAGCTTACCTATTGTCAGAAGTACTTTATTGACATCTCATGGTATCTATTTTCTCTCGCGGATTCTCTTTTCAGAAATAGTTACTTGCTAAATAAGATACAAAGAAGAAACAAAAAAAATTAAATATATTGATAAGATGAAACTTCTCAGTATTCCAAAATCAATGTAAATAAGTACTTAGTAATATTTTTATAGGTACAACAGCCTAGACAGTAATATATATTAAATAAAAGAATTTCTTTAAATTTCAATTTTTTATTGTATATTATATGTGTAGTGTCCATATTATAGTTATACTATGATATATTTACATATAAAAAACAGATCTTAATGGAGCACCAACCACAAAATTTTCGAGACGATTTAAAGAAAGAAACTAAAAATATTTATCCTTCACTCATCTAAATACAAAGAAAAAGAATATAAATTTGAAAACTTTATTCAATAATAAATTAAAACTTATGTAACATAAAATAATTATATTCTAAGACAGTGTAATAATAACAAATTTGTCAAACGATGATTAAATAAGTCAAGACGAAAAAATGATATCGTCGGGGATAGTGCGATTCCACGTAACTATCATTGGATAATTCCACGTATCTACATTAGAAGCAGATTACTAGAAAAAAGTTAAGGCTAAAATATTAACTAAATTAACGACTTTTAAGGTGATTTTTTCACAATTAGAAATAAACTGAACACTAAATAATAATGTGCTAATCGTGAAAAAATTATTTTAAAATTCGTTAATTTGGAAAATATTTCATTGAAATTATCCAATGGTAGTCCCGCAGATTAGGGTGATTAAGGATAGTGCAATACGCCGAATCGTTCAACATTCATTCACATTCGTATAAACCTTGCGCTGACGATGATTTTGTTCCGGTTTCATATATATGATTGCCATTTCTGGAATTGAATATTTTAAATATCTTAGTTTTTATCACCTCATTAACATGAATTACTAATAAAATTTATAAGTAGTGAAGTTTTGAAATACCAACCGGTATGTAGTTCCTTTGGTCTGCTTTCTTCTAATGTGATATCACCAGTATTAAATCTAGCACCTTCTAAAAAAGGCCTCGGACACAGCAACCATCATCTGGTTTCTTCGCTGGCGGAGCGTTAAGAGCCTGGAGATATAACTTAGTTTGTAATAGAATATGCATTTATATTTTTTCACATCTATTCTGGCATAAATTTTTTAACTGATTTGGCATTGAATAATATATATTTAGAATAAAGATTTAGGAGACTGTTCCGAGGGCGGCTTGCGAGAGTTTTGGATCCCGAGGACATAATTACTTATAGAATTATATGAAAATAATTCTCTTTTCCATCTTTTCCAATTCCTATTACTAATGATATATTAGCAAGCGAAACTGTGGAAACTTATACAAATTCTTTTAATTTAAACTGTACCACTATCTTTATTTCGTTCTTTGTCTTACCTCAAAAGCGTAAGCCATGGTATCACTTACTATAACATGTTATCTAGCATAGTTTTGTAATGCACCAGTAAGGAATGCCTGGGGGAAGAAGAACCCAGAAATCCATAACACCTTAGGAATCCCACCATCAGCCCACGGCTGCATAAATTGTACTCGGAGACATAAATCTTTCACCCAAGCCGCTGGTAAAAAGACAAAAATAAGTAATGAACCCTTTCTAAATTTATTATGTAGCTTATTTTTGGCCATTTTTTTTTGTGATAAAAATTCCAATACCTAGTTGTTTAAGCGAAGGATACGCCTTAGCGCTCCACATATTTGGAACAGCGTTTTTAGCCAAACTTCCGGACATACTTTCTAGGGCTTCCGACATAACAACTAAACCTTTGAGTGCTTTTTGTAGGTCACTAGCAGAAATAAAATATTAGTAAAAGAATGAACTGTTAATTGCCATTTGATTAATACACTGACTGAAGAGAACTGCTCATAACGGCCAAAAGCTTATTATATCGTCTGACTTCTTGAATAAGTACTGTATTTAGGGACTCTTTATAAAACACAGGGTAGCTGTTAGGATAAAAAAATATATTAAATTAACTTTATTTATATATTATATACATTAACTTAGTAAATATATATAAACAGCCTAGCCATTAGTAATATTCATATTTAAAATTACATATGACTTACATACTTATACAAGAGCTCGTCTCACACATAGCGTAACTGATGTTGGCATTAGCGTGCAATCCGAATAACGACGGGTCATAGTTCAGTGGTAAGGTGCGTATATAACGATCAAGCGATGAAGATTGTTGCTGTTAAAACAGTTATTATAACTTCAAACAAATTATACAATAAAACGGTCTAGAAGTATGAAGAGAAATCATTGGTGTCTGAATTGAATGATATTAACGGTGCGTTCTCCTAGTTTTATTTGAACTATATCTTCGAAATCATAATACATCATAAGGAATTTATATACCTGTTTATAAGCACCACCCTCATCAAATATCCATCTGTCATTGAGTACAGCAGTAGTGTAGTAATCAGCCAACAAACACAACAGACACCGACTGTCCCAATCATCCGTGACTCGTCCACCATAGTTAATATGACCCGCTATATACGTTAACATCTGAACAAAATGATTTAAAATACCAATTAAAAGTATGTAAACATTAAAATGTATCCTATCTATTATAATAATATTCCAATTAAATCTTGTCCATAATGCAAGCATTAGTCAAGTTATTGCTTTCGTGAACCCTATTTCAATTAGAGACTTAGTAACGAACCTCAACGTCAGTCCTATTGTTCTCCCAGAATATCATACAACCCAACAATACAAATAATAGCAGTTACATAGTAATCTACTACTTATTTTAACAAACCCATTGGTTCTTTCATGTTAACTAATTAATAAAAAGCAGCCTTTTACAAATTAAAGGCATTAATTTACCGTAAAATTAATTAACAAACCCGCAATGGAACTTCATGTTATTCATTCAGAAACATGTGAAGCTGAGAAATATAAATACAAAGATCACCGTCTGTGAATTCGTATGGTATATTATAACCACGAGGCCCAAACTTCCGTCTTTCTATAACTACACCATGGAATAGGCATAGTGAAAGTAGGAGCCACTGAAAATTACAAAAGTTTTGTTACTAATAATTCAACAGTCCTAAAACCTGAAGAAATAAAATAAAATAGCTTCTTCATAAAGTCAACTGAGAAAATAACATGTCTTTGTTTCGAAATCATATAACAAATTTAATAAACAGAAACATTTTATACTTGTTTTTCTTAATATAAATAATATGGAGACCCTTAAAATTAGAAACTTTGCTGTCTGGTGAATTAAATTATTCAAAAAAATCAGGGACTTGATTCATATATGCCTTTTAATAAGTTCGCTTTAATTCCTCTAGGTGGTTCCACTGTCATTTTATATCCTGAAAAATTCATATATATTTATTAAAACCTTGACTTACAATTAAATATGATAATGATAATTATTATAATTAGAATTATATTTAACGTCTTCTTTATATTTATAACTTTAAGTAAATAAGGTATAGTTTAAATACTTGTGTATCGTATGGTTATAATTAACTTTATGTACGAATAATATTTAAAATACCGTTCTGTAATAATGCCACAGGAAAGAAGGGTGATGGTGTTGATGTGAGTCACAGTCGAAAGTCCTTATGAACTACTTCTGGGACTATTTAATCCACATTTAACTCCAAGACTGGCATCCATGATGGAGAAAAATTTCAATTCTGAAATTTACATTTAAAAATATATATATCGTGAGGTCAGAAGTCACACTAAAAAGGTATCTACATATATGTAGGTTCGAGTTAACATCTAACGCAATAAATTTCATTAAAATAGATATTGCTGTCTACTGAATAAAAATACAGCCAATTAGCTTAGACAAAGTTATTATCACATTTTTATTAATATATGTACATAAAACGGATATATCATACATACATATTTGGAATCTTTAAGAGTTAATCTTAAATTAATTTCTTTGAATTGTGTTATAGCATTTTCTTAAAATTGTTTTAGATTCATTATGAAAAACACTTAAGCCTTGCTATAAGTTCTATTCGAATGATTTAAAAAAAAAACGAATATACTTAACGATTGAAAGGAAATGTAAAACTTTACCTGAAAAAATACTCAGTTACCAAAATCACAGCCAACTTTCATCATAGCTTCGGTTAGAGGCCCTTGATCTTGTCCTAATGAAATACTTTCAAATCTTTTGCCCATCTTCATTTTGTCGGCAAATTTCAACAGATCTGAAATACGTTACACTCAATTAGTCGATAAATAATCATGTAAAGAAAATCAAACCACAGCAAACGATTCACTATGTAAAGAGAAATATATAAGGACTTATAACAATCAAGTATGTACTTTGTAAATATAGTTAGTTTTAATTTTGCATAGAATTACTGGCATACTTTTAAGAAAAGTCAGACATACAGACAGTCAGATATACATACATACATATTTTTCAATATGTTATACAACATCCAACTAATCTTATAAAAAGTAATATTTACCAGCAGCTGGATCAGTACCGGTGGAGAGAATGAAAATTATGCTATATGTACAGTACTACATAGTTGAACTTCATTACCACGATTATGAAAACAAATCAACATTATTTATAACAAAATATACCTGAAGACCAGGAATCAATTGGTCAGGTCGTAAGCACTTTAGAACAAGTAGCTTCCGAAATGCATCTAGTTGAGAGTCTAGTCCTTTTTGATATGGAAGTCTGGAACATCCAGATATATTCTATGTAAAAAAACTTAACTATAATAAATTAATAAGATAAAAAGACGATTTTACTTATGAGGATTCCAGGCATCGTAATAATTCTTAAAGAATTTGGTTTGTTGAGGAAAATCCATCACAAATTGATGCATCGTTGACAATGTCGCCAACTGTAGCATATCCAACCACATCCGAGGAGATATCCACTTTGGTTCGGGGCTCTCAAGTTCCTTGTGTTGAACAAATATTAATTTAATGTAACAATATTATTTTGGATATACCTAAAATTCTGACAAGTAAACTTTTTAATGTATTTATACACTAAGCGAAATTTTAGTTAAAAATCTGCATACATAAAATCAGTATTTTGCCACAGTAATTGAACGGAAATTTAAATTAATTTGACAAAATATTTACATAAATACCAAAATTTCAGTACTCTTGATTTTAATAGCCTCCAAAGTTAATATAAGAGGCAAATCATCTACTGGAGATCCTTCGCTGTTAGACAGGCCATACAAAATATCAGATTGAATTTCCGCTAAGTGTGTTGCTAGCTGAGCTCGAGACACGATGAGTTGACCTCTTAACTCTTCCAAATCTGGTCGTTCTTGAGCTACTACTACAGACAATAATTGTTCTGCTAAACCACTAGTATAGACAAGAAAAACAATTAGTAAATAATCTGTTTGTTTAAATATACTGCATAGAGAATTTGTCAGAAATATAACACGCTCGATAAACATTCGAACTTATTTAATTTGATCTTTATTTCGTTTAATTGAATCGCGTCTAAACTTGATAAATTATTTAATTTTTGTATATAGTTTTTCAACTTAGTGACGCGTCCTTTAATACTACTGCGTTTTAAAATTAATTCTTTTAAAGTAGACATTATAATGCGAACAAAAGAAACAAATGTAAGTACTAATAAGAATCAATGACCGGAACAGCTGATCTATTTAAACGCGACAAACACTCGAGTGGGTAATAAAGTTTTTTACATACGCTCCTCCTTTGTTTTGCGATAAGCTAACTGCCTCGGACACCTGCATAGACTGACCGCTCGCCAGTTCTCAGCGTGGCATCAACCCGCACGGCCAACACTCCCGTACGCTGAAAACGTCGGCAATATGTGGTTTAAATATTTGCCTTAAATGAATGATAAAATGGGATGCGTATGAACTATGAAGTGGTTTAAGTTTAGGTTGCGAATTGTGGCAGTGAAATTTACAGAAGTGTCAGGAAAACCTACATACTACTTTTTCCTCCCCTTCCCATTTTTCCTCCCCCTGTTCCCACATCAAGGGTGGTGACTGGTGACACATCCGCAACATGTCTTATGTCGCGGATGTCCATGGGTGACGGTACTACCTCAATCAGGTAGGCCGCCTGCTCGGTTGTCCCCTTTAACATAAAAAAAAATACATATTGGATGACCACTGTGCGGGTATGGATGAAGATTGGTAGAAAAATAGATTAGAACATAGAAAGGACATAGGATACTTTTCATTCGATTGAAAGGAAAAGTTGATCAAATCCAAAATCTTATCTTCTGTCTTTAAGGAGGAACAGAATGCATCCGAAGTGACGTTAAAGCGATGAAGTTTGGTTTGTACACTTTTACGAGGGAAAGTATTTATAATAAGTTTGTTCCAGTAAAGGTTTGATATCTTCTTTAAAAATACTATATACTGGCGTTATAAGACTACTTTATTTTTAATGACGTTATTAGTATCCTCTATATATACAATATATATATATATATATATATATATATATGTATATTCGTACCTCATACAGCCTCTTAGCGTTGTCCACACTCTCCTGCGGCTCGTCCGTCCTCAGCATCTTCTCCTTGTCTCTGATCCACTTGTCGAAGTCGTCCCACTCCGCGAACAAGCTGTACAGCTTGATAGCGTCCTCCAGCTGGAGACGACGCGCCTCTGACAGCTTGAGCAGCTCCTCTGGTGGAGGAACAGCTTGTTACTATGTAATCACTACCTTAATATATATTTACATACAAGTATTATAATTTAAATGTGCCAAAATTTTATCTACATTATCTGTCTGTAAGAAAGTCTGTTGAATGGTCAGCCGTAACAAACAGACTTACGTAATAATGAAAACCTTACCTTGTCATACATATCGAGTACATCCATAAAGCATATAAAAGAGGTTACAATATAGAATAAAGATATTAATTATTACATTCATTTGACATTATTTTCCAGCAAACCTCCACTCCCAACTTCATAGAGATCATCACAGTATCTGCTCTTCTTCCACAACTACCAGCCTTCACATTTTAACTCACGACTTCCTTATATATATCTGTCTCTCTGTCACATAAATCCCCACTGTACTCATCTCCGTCCTCACACAAGCACTTCGGCAGCCTGGATAGGTACTCTGCATCGCCGCCGATGCTGTCGGTCGTCGGTCGCCGCACAGTGGGAAAGTCCCATACAAGGCCGTCTCAAAACCCCTTCACATGAAAGTCGTTGTTATGGAGTAAAACTAATTAATTAATATAGTCTTATATATATTTTTAATATATTTTTAATTATTATTTTTTCCAAATCATAATATATATTAAAAGGCATCAAAGTTAACTCATGTTCAATGGTGTTATATTGGCCCTCTACATTACTTCAATACAACGCCACATTACTTGAAAGTATTACTATGTAATATTATAAATGGCATATACATTAATGAATTAACTACGAAAGAAGTTAGGTAATTGTATAAGTATATATGTATGTAAGTATGTACTGACTAAACAAGTTCCAATCATGTAAACAACTCTTGCAACATTCGAAAACGAAGACAGTTGAAAGTTAATTTTGAAGATATTATGAAAATTAATGAAGTATCTCAATGATTTGTTAGTTGCTCTAAACTAGATAAAGCTCGTAAATTCTTGGTCACGTGATCTACTAAAAATCGTAACGAAACCTCAGACTCACGACTGATCTGTTGAACGTTGAGTAAAGATTTTAGATGGTGGTTAATCAATAGCCGTTTATTGTTGTACCTCGAACATAACAAGTCCCACGCTTCCTTGTAATTTGATGAGGAAACCTCTAGATTTGAAATAATGCGGGCTGCCTCTCCTTCGAGATAAGACGTTAAATAATTAAAGTTATGGACGTCTAATAGGTATATGCTGATTATTATGAATTGAATTTAAATATGTGTCGTGAAATTCAAGCCAGTAAAAATATGTGCCGTTAATTTTTTTAATTTCTATTTGTGGCAATTTTACGCCAAAGTTGCGATTATTGAGACCAAATTGAGTATCTTGAGCTACTGATTCACGCGTAAACTCATCTTTAATGTTGTCATATTTTTGTAAAATATTTTTTGCCTTAACGGTATTCACGATGAAGTCCTGCTCAATAGCGTCTCTTTCATCAAGTTCAGTGTCAAGATCGTGACTGTTTATCACCTCTATTTGACTTTGCAACTCGTCGAACCTTGTAGAAAAACCTTCGAATTTACCTAGTTTTAATGATAATTCAGCTAATTCGATTGCAGACAACTGAGATTGTTGACTGATTTTATCTAGATAATTTTTAAACCTTGTGATTTGTAACTTAATTGAACTACGCTTAGTGACCAGCTCTCTTAAGGCAACCTTGTTAGTTATTGCACTATATTTCTCATCACTAATCATTTTTAATGTTAACTAAAATTAAACAAAATTAAAATAAAATGATGTTTAAAAGTTTTACCGGTAAAGTTGGTCAACAATGGTTAAATAGAAAATCAATATAAAAATAAATAATTCCCGCGGATAATAAAGGAAGAAAAAGAAAATATCTCACGCTCTTCGCTTTAGTTGAATCCACGAACAACAGCTGATCAACGCAGGAGCGGCGCGATGGACTTTGGACCGCGCCACGCAGCACGCTAGAATGTTCGGCAAAACAATTTGTAATAATGTTGATATAAGGCAATGTTTACGATGATTTTGACAAGATTTATTTACTATCGAAATGTGAAATTATCTATAAAATAAAAAAAAATAGTAACATTAAAAAAAAATTAAACCGTTACGTCAAACCGTTATAATCGTTTTGAAAAATATAGCAATGAAGTAAGAATTAAATTATAATTGTAATTTGCAATTCAATAAATTATGTTTTATACGTGAATAAAATGAATATGTAAAATTTTAAAATTTTATAATCTGGATGTAATTAAACTATTTAGACACTTGGTTTCTTATTAAGACAGATTTGGATTATTGAAGGAAAAATTGTGAAGGATATTTAAGATTTATGAATAACTTAAAGGGATACACCGTGCTGAGCTGCGAAGGGGACGCTTTAGCTGGATCACTCGATCAATCGATCAGTGATGACGATCGACGACGATGATTTTAAATTTTTCGTGTTCTATTCGTTTTGATTTGTATATTTGTCCTGTCACGGTCGCCAATTTATGTTTCGTAATGAACACTATGGAGGCTCCATTTCGTTGAAATTAAACCCAAATGTCTTGATACTGCTTTAATTAATAGAAAACGTGTACAAAGGTTCGAGTGCAAGGTTGGAAGTGACACAGCAAATTTGAATGAATAAAATATGTAATAATAACATGTAGTCGGTAGATTTAAAACTTGTGATAAATTGTATATAGAAATATGAAGCGCCTGATTATAAACTATAGCTGAAAAGTTATTGCTCTTAGAGGGCTGTAGGCGCGAACAGTCAGTATATTCGAAAGCAATTAAAATAGTTTTTCGTTTTGCTATAACACCAGTGTATTTTTCCACTATCTTTTTGCTGCCAAGATTTGTATCATTAATACGAATAAAGCTTCCCAATACAATTCAAATTCGTATATTTATCAACCACAGCGACAAATATATTTCTTTACGGGGCATATACTGGTACTATATCGAGGGTAGTTTCCAATCGACCGTATATTATATTTATTACTAAGACCGGAACTGCTGTTATAATATTGAATACCAGTGTATATGATCAGACCTGGTGCGCCTCTGCAGCGTCCGCTAGCTGCTTGTCCGTATCGGTAGCCAGTTGCCGCAGCACGTCCCACTGCTGGGACAAAGACGCCAGGCGACGCTCGATCTCACCGCTCTTAGGGTGCTTTGATTCTATTAGACTGAAAAACAAATTAAATTATTATTATTATTTTATGTGAAATATGGCAAAGCAAAATATGGCAAGTAGACGAACTGCTAGATGGGCAGTAGTCTTGGTCTTTTAGGAATAGGGAGGGAATAAGGAAGGTCAGGGAAAGATGGGAATAGGGAAAGGGCAAGCGGATCTATCACTCATCGGACAAAACGCAGTCATTAAAGATTACTTGACGCCGATCTTCTGTGAGATTATATGATTATTATTATGAATTAAACATGTATTATTTATATAGAAACTAGTTTTCGCCCGTGACTTCGCCTGCGTTAGTTTCAGAATTAGAAAAGTATCTGACCGGTCGAACTCTGTTCCTCCTTAAAGACTTTGTTTTGATGTACTTATTGTTTTCTTTTTCAATCGTATGTAAAGCATCCTATGTCCTTTCCATGTTCTAATCTATCTCTCCACCAATCTTCATCCATATCCGTATAGTCGTTCTTGAGTTATAAATAGTGTAACTAACACGATCTTCTTTTTTATATATAAATTAAGTGAATTTAAATTTGATTGAATGACCTTGTTAACAAAAAATCAGGCCAAATATTTTTTACATCCCTTATTAGACCAATATGTCAATAGCTTGGTTATCAATACATCTATATATATATATATATATATATATATATATATATATATATATATATATATATATATATATATATATATATATAAAAGAAAGTCGTGTTAGTTACTCCACTTATAACTCAAGAACAGCTGAACCGATTTAGCTGAAAATTGGCAGGGACGTAGTTTAGAGCCAGGAAATTGCAATAGGATGCTTTTTATCCAGCATTTGACAGCATTCCCGTGGGACATGACATGAAACGTCAGTCACTTTAAGACGTGGAATAACGAAACACAATTAACAGCTATGCAATTGACGTATAATGACAGATATGTAATGACGTAATGATGACAATTAGATATTTGTAAGAGATCTCTTATATAAAAATAAGTCCGGTTTTCCATCCTGACGCTATAACTTCAGAACGAACTGTTACATATCCCCAAATGCACCCTTTTCTGCTGACTCTATAGATCATTCCTGCCTCATCAGCATTCCTTCTCCTTGCCCCCGCTCAGCCATCCATCACACATTTCAGTCTCAATCCATCATCCATCAAAAACGGTCGTGTCTATTTTTCACACTAAATCTTTTTTTTAAAAACCCTTCAACCCTGAGGCTCATAACATTTTGGTGGCAGCGTAAAGGGATTCAAAGAGTCCCCGGAAACGTCTCTTCACTATTGAAAGTGTTAAATTCAGTGAAAAAGTGATAATTGTGAAAAGAACTCTCATATATATAAACTATTACTACATCCTGGCAATTTAAATTACAAAATATTGAATAAAATATTCAATTTTTGCCAATAAAAGATAATAAATATACTCAATTCACCGAATTCGACGCGTCGAGAAACATAGCTCCGGTATTTGTTGAAGAATTCAAGAAACATGATCCTGCCTGTTATCGCTCTGTAAGTGAAAGCCTTATCTCTTGGTCATTGTCTTAATATTATACTCTATTATTGTTCAAACCTTTATATTAGTGATTTGTCTAGTTGTATTGCATTTTATATAGTGCTTTATACTGTCTGTTTGTATTTTATATTGTATTTAGAATTTCTTTTTGTTGTTTTGTCGTACTGTAAAATATTTTCTGTGTTTTGGGTGTATAAAAAATGGCCGAAAGTAGATCACAAAGCCCAAAAAATGAAAGACCGGAAATAGCTGTAACTGACACAGAGGACGATAGGGAAAGTCTTTGCCCCCCTCCTTCAGGACCATCAACTAGGTCCACGTCCAAAAGAAAAACACCGGTAACTAAACCCGAATTAGAGCTCTCAATCCTACTAAAATTTATTAAGCCCTATGATGGCCGGAGAGATACATTAAACTCATTTATAATTAATTGTAATAACGCGTATGAATTAGCATCAGAAACCCAGAAAGATATCCTTTTCAAATTTATACTATGTCAATTAGAAGGGAAAGCTGAAACCGCCTGCTCTATCAAGGAATTCACTAATTGGCAACAATTGAAAGAATTCCTTAAAACCCAATTCAGTGTCCGTAAACATTACGCTCATCTATTAACCGAACTGCAAGAATGCAAACAGAAATCAAATGAACCAGTTAGTCAATATGCCCTAAGAGTAGAAACTTGCCTTTCATCGTTACTAACAGAAATTTCGATCACACATGGAAACAAAAGCCGAGAAATGATAGGACGCACAGCAGCAATGGAAGAATTAGCCCTCCATCACTTCCAGATGGGGTTGACACCGCGTATCTCGAACATAGTACGATGTAAATCAGTTAAAACCTTAAATAACGCAATAAACGCAGCTATCAGTGAAGAAAAAATTCAGCAATCTCTTAGTAAAAACATAACTTACAACACAAACGATAACATCCGTCTTAATAAATTTTATAACTTTAAAACAAATGTTCAAAACAACAATAGAATTCCAAATCGTCACTATGTTTCCTACCCAAATCAAACAACTTCAAATCTTAATCGCCAGCATAATTTAAATGATCCCAAAAACATAATTTGTAGATACTGCAAATCTCCCGGGCACACCCTGGAACAATGCCGCAAACGTATATTTAATAACCAACGGTTCAGAAATCCCCAACAAACCCAAAATATAAGAATTCCCATTCAAACTATGCCTAATATGAATTTTATAACTGAAGAATTTAATGACGAAATACCTAATGAAGATCTTAATGATGAAAAAGGTTACGATACTGTGGATACTTTACCAAAAAACGAGTAAGAGTCTCGTCCCTGTGCCGAACGGGACTGCACAAGCCAAAAATCGGCACCCCAAATTCTAAACCGATTCCGCTACATGGCAATCCGAATACTATCTCACCGGCATCGTTATATGATTCGCCAAAATCCACTGTATCCGTGCAGAGACAGCAAAATGTTCGTCTGCCAAAATCCACTGTATCCGTGCAGCAACAGCAAAATGTTGATCTGCCAAAATCCTCTGTATCCGTTTCTCATAATGAAACAAAAATCTTCGAGATCACGACAGATCCAACTAAAGTACTTCTCCCTCATGTCATTATCAATTCATCCATTTCTGAAATTCCTTTAACTTTGCTAATAGACTCTGGCTCAGCAATTAGTTTAATTAAATCCTCTTGTATTCAGAAACCTGTAAAATTAATAAAAGAACAAATAGATTTGAAAGGGATTGAACCCGATAAAAGCTCTACAAAAACTTGTGGTCATTTTCCCTTAAAATTATATTTATCCGACTCTTTAAACAAATATGTGAGTCATAAATTTCATGTTATAAATAAAATACATTTACCTTATGACGGGATCATTGGAACAGACATGCTCAATTCATTCGGTTCCAATATTAATTATACTACAAATAAACTCCAAATAAATGGAATTCAAATACCGATGTATTTTAATGAACCAATCTATACTATACCTGCTCGATCCGAAATGATCATAGAATGCTCTGTTTCAAACCCCGAAATAAAAGAAGGGCTCATATTAGATCAAAACCAATTCAAGGACATCCTTATAGCTAACTGTCTAGTGAAAGTAAAAGATAACAATAGGATTAATATATCCGTTGTCAATTTATCTGAAAATCCTAAATCACTTAATTCCAATCTATTCTTAACCCTAATTTCAACCAACCCCAACACTATTACAGAAAATAGGTCCCCTGAATATTCTATTAATACCGTACAATCTTATGACTCACTTACACGTACCCAAGAAGTTCTAAATCAATTAAGAACTTCACATTTAAATAACGAAGAAGCCAATGCTCTCTTCGAGATTTGCTCGAATTACTCAGATATCTTTTATTTATCTGGAGATCCCTTATCTTTTACCAGCACGCTGGAACACGAAATCAATACAACTAACAATGAGCCAATACACGTAAAGTCCTATCGTTTTCCTGAATGTCACAAACAAGAAGTTCAAAATCAAGTTAACAAAATGTTAAAAGACGGAATCATAAAACCTTCTATGTCCCCGTGGTCTGCTCCCATTTGGGTTGTTCCAAAGAAGCTAGATGCTTCTGGACAGCGGAAATGGAGAGTTGTTATTGATTATAGACGCCTCAACGATGTTACAATTGGAGATTCATACCCAATACCTAACATTAACGAAATACTAGATCAACTGGGTAAATCCAAATATTTCTCAACTCTCGATCTAGCATCCGGATTTCATCAAATTAAAAAAATGGCATCAAAAGATGCAGCAAAAACAGCATTTAATGTTCCTCAAGGACATTTCGAATTTCAACGGATGCCTTTTGGTTTAAAAAATGCACCATCTACATTCCAAAGACTAATGAACACAGTCCTCACAGGACTCCAAGGCACCAGATGTTTTGTCTATTTAGATGACATAGTAATATATTCGTATGACCTCAATTCACATATTAAAAATCTTGAGTTAATATTTAACCGTCTCAGAAAACACAATCTCAAACTGCAGCCTGATAAATGCGAGTTTCTTAGAAAAGAAGTTTCTTATCTTGGTCATCTTATTACAGATAAGGGTGTGAAACCTGACCCTGAAAAAATCAAAGCTGTGTCTAGTTTTCCAATTCCAAAATGTCCTAAAGATGTGAAATCATTCCTAGGCCTAATGTCGTATTATAGAAAGTTTATTCCCGATTTTTCACAAACAGCCAAACCATTAACAACGCTTTTAAAGAAAGATATTCCCTTTATTTGGCATAATGAACACCAACTAGCCTTCGAAAACCTAAAATCTCGTCTTATTTCACCTCCTCTTCTTATATACCCAGATTTTACAAAACCATTCACACTCACATGTGATGCTTCTAATTATGCTATCAGCGCCATCCTCTCCCAAGGAGATCCGAATAAAGAACAACCAATAGCTTATGCCTCTCGAACTCTTAATAAAAACGAAATTAATTACAACACTACTGAAAAGGA